AATCCAAATCGGGTACGGAATATAGTTAGATACTTCTGTCCTTCTTTTACTTTTATATTATTGAAGATGGAAATGATATCAATTTTATTAAAATACTTTATTCCCTTTAGATTATTTAGAGATTCCTTTATTAACAACAAAAAGTATCAATCCTTAATCAAAAGGTTATTCAGAGTATAATAATCTATATAAAACCAGAGGCCTTCATCAGTCTTCTTGATAAACAAAACAGAGGAAACAGTAGAGAAAGAGCTCAGCCGGATGAATCCTTTTCTAAGATTCTCTTCCAACCATTCTTTCAGAGTTTCTAATTTGGGATGGGATATAAAATATAAAATACCGAAGGGAAGAATAGCTCCTTCTTTGAAATGAATCTCATAGTTATATAATCAATAAGGGGATAACTTTTTGTATTCTTTAAAAAGAAGATATCTTTTCAATTTCGGAACTCAGATAATAGGTCTTTAGGGTCGAATACCTTTTTCTTCTTATTTAGAATATTATTGATTTGTTCGATCGATATCTGGAATATTTCATATTTCCGGTGGGTATAAGCCGAATAGGCTTTCAGGGAGATTGCAGCTATATCCTTATTCTTTAATCCTTTGGGGTGGGCAAGCAGATATACAGATTAGGCTTTTGGAGGAACATCTGGCAGAGCTTTTATGCAGGATAGGCAGAATAAAGTATTACAAAATTCGTAGCAAAATGAGCTATCAAACTGGAACGAGTTTGTTGTGAAATCGACATGGGGGTTGTATTTCTTAAGCCAAACTATCCTTAATACAATAGAATAGTAAGCTAGCTCGGTTATATACAAAACGATTTTTTTCTTGATATAATTATTGATTCTAAGTTCTACTCAAATATAAAAGGTAATTCGATTATTGAGCAGAGTGTTTCTATCAAATCCTATAATTTCGAATGCTATAGATAGTTGGTATACTGATATTTTCTGGGAAGATATCTAGCTTTAATCTACAAAGGCAATTCCTTCATATCTGCTATCGACTATAGCATATATTAAAAGGGTGTCTTTTTCCAAAAGTAGAGTAACAAGTAGAATTATTAAATTCACATGATTATTTAGTTTATTTTCCAAAGAAAAGCTATAAGTAGTAATAATAGATAAGTGGAGGGTATACAGAGAATTATCCTAATCGCAATTTAGGTTAGACATATTCCGTTTCCCGAATTAACTAAACTGATTGGCGAGTGGGGAGGAGAGTGAGGTAAGGAACGGATAGGGATTCGGCCCCTCAAAGGACTGTTCAGTATAGGGCTGGTTCTTGTAGAGCTGATTGTAGTAATGATAACTTAGAGTTGAATAGGATGGATATCAAAATACAGGTAATCTCGTATCAGATAGTTGGCAGAGCCGTAGCGATAGTATTTGCTGCATTCCTGCTGCGAACCCAGGTTCCTAGCGGTGTATTCCTTTTTCCCTAAGCTCAGGTCTATTGGGTCTTTAGGAATAGATTTTGGGCTAACAAATTGTAAAAGCAGAGTAGCGATTATTTTTTGGAATAAAGTTTCAAAAATGATAGGACGAATATAATAGACTTGTTATTGATATTGATAAAATCGGTTATCGAATTATTATAAATAATTAATATATTAAACAAAATTCATAAGTTGGAGTAGGATTATGCAATAGTATATTTTGTAATTTGCAAGAGATTTCTTGAATAGGAATAGGGTTAGAGTATCATCAGGTATCTCTTCTTCTAGGGCGAGTCTCTGGAATTCTGTAAAGAAGGTGCTAAAATCGAGGTGTTTTTGTTTCAGTATATATAGTTTATTCTGTATGTTTTGTATTCGATCAGAATCCCCAAAAGTGTTTTCGAGATATTCGAAAAGTGTAGTATAATTGGTGAATTGAGGAATTCTATAGGAGATCTTAGATAGTATAAGCTTGTATACCTTTCCAGTAAGTCTTCCAGCAATATAAATCAAGTGAATAAAAGTTGTTAGGAATCTATTATTATTCGTATTCAATTTTCCATATATTTATTAAACGAATTTATACAGATTGAAGCAAGTGCCATCAAACTCTTTCGGATCAGGGATATGCTTATTCAATCGAATAATCGAAACAGGTACAATAAGTTTGGGGATAAAGTCAACAAGAGTTTTAAGAAATATAATTCCAAATGAGTAGATATAGTAAGCGTAGATTCGACAAGGCAATCGAATAGACAAGCATTTTGAATAGTAACCTATTCGTACAGAACGATTTGAATACATTCGCAAACTAGAGATTCGGAAATTTCGCATTTGAGCAATCTGTTATCTCCTCCAGTTTAGTATAATATACAAATACCAACTAAAGGTATTGATATCAAACCTAGAGGTTCTCCGATACAGAAACACCAAATTCTGAGGAGTCCCTAAACTAGCTAAGCGGGTACAAAGCAATCATCACAAAAGCAATATTTTAATAGATAGAAGCTATATAATATCACAAGGCAGGCGGATAGAATAGGGTTCTAATAACTTTATTCTAAGCTAATAAAATTATACTAATTCAGATAATAGGTTTAGATTAAGAATTAAGACATAATTCAAAGAGCTACAATACAGGATCTTCTGAATTGAAGATATACGGAATTTTCACAGCGAGCTAGCCCGATCGGGCCCTAGCTCGCTTGCGCTCCGGTGCGAGCGCTCCTTTCGGTCCTCTCCGATAGGACCAGCATATCACGTGAGCTCACACCGTGACAGGTATCACTTTTTTCTATCTTTATCTCTTTTAAACTAACCCTTTATATATCTTTATAAACTTGATATCCTCTAGTTTTTATTAGATATATATAATCGAAACTATTAAAAATAATGGGGGCAGGGCTGAATCCTAAGCCCTATTGCCCACACACAAATCAATTCGGAAAATTCGAAAATTCGAAAATTAAAAGAAAAACATTGTATTATATCATACCCAGAGTATGATATTAATTTGAAGACAATAGCATTCTCTATATTATATTATTGTAATATTCGAATAACTAAAAGCCAAGGGTATAAAAAAGAATTGTAATATGAGTAGAGCAGCGGCAAGCTTATATGAAAAGACTCTTTTAAAAGAAAAGACCTACTATATATCATATTTCTATATTTGAAATAGTAATCGATAATAAATGTTAAATCTAACCAGAGCTTCCGTAACCTTTGTATTCGTAGTTTAAAGCTAGTATTTAACTTTTTATAGATATTGCTATCGTAAAATCATAATATAATCCTTTGCTATATCTCTGAATCTCTCTCCTTCCAATTCTTCTAATTCTATTTGTGACTCAATCTTAGCTCTACAGACTCTCAAGAGAGAGCTGGAGGTTCATAGGATGCACTGCGTACAGGTGTTGAGTCTTCGCATCCCCGACTTATGTATTACTTAGGTATCTGTTCTGTCTGATTCTGATTTCGAACTTGGAAGATTGTTTTTTTTTCTGGATGAGTAGGATAGAATAGGATTATTTTGGGATTATATTTTGATTTTTTTAGATGTCTATACTTTATTATTTATTATACTAAATATTTAAATTACTATACTATCTTTATAATCCAATAAGCAAATCTATATTTTATATTTCACATATCACATTTTAACCATAGCTTACCAATACCTCTCCTCAAAGTTGTATATATATATATATATATTTATTTATTGACATATTCCAACTTCCCAACTTCCCAACCATTTAAGCTACCATCTAAATCCAATCTAATCCAATCACTATCACCACATCACCAACCCATCACATCCACATCCACATCCACATTACATCCGTATATCTCCTATATCAAACTTCATATCTACATTCCGCTCCGCTCCTCATCTCATTTTATTATAACTACCAAAATCTCCCGAGTTCCCATTTCCTCGCTGTCTCATCTCAAGCTCGATTCTCATCCCTCACTCCCTCACTCCCTCACTCCCTCACTCCCTCACTCCCTCACTCCCTCACTCCCTCACTCCCTCACTCCCTCACTCTCCATCCACCAAGCGTAACCGCCCCATTTTTCTCCCCAGCCCTTTCACTCTTTCCCCCTATCCCTTGTTTATGTATCCATCCAATATCAAAGATTCCCTTCCCTCCACCCCAACTTACCTTGACCCATCCTCCTCAAACCCACCCACCACTATAAACTTATAACCCGCCCCCACAAACCTCCAATTCCAAACATCTAATCCCAAGCAACCGAACATCATGAACCTACTCTCACCAATTCACATAGAATTTTCAACCCCTCCCCATCACTCCCCTCTCCCCCCTCTCTCACCAACCTCAACCCCAACCCCAATCAAACCCAACAACAAACCCAACAACAATCCGATACCTACCCAATTACCTGTCTATCTACCTACCCACCTAACAAACCATCCCTCCAAACTAAACATAAATGCAAATCCTTCATAAGATTTTCAAGACTCTTGAATTTCACAATATATAGATATATATATGTACATACTCACCCACTTACTCATCTACCCATCATTCCAACTTACCTGTCTGTCTACCTACCTACCTAGTAGTTTCAGAAGCCGAATCGCGCCGCGCCAAGCTATTCTCTGGTCTAGAAGAAACAAAAACTAAAACAAAAACAGAAACACTCCACACAATCCAGAAACATCTCTCACTCCCGAGGTCACTCAAAGTCACAACTTCTCACAAGATCCATACCTACCTAGTAGACATCGCCACAAGCCACAAGCCCAAAAACCAAAACCACAATCACACTCACAATCACTTACCACAATAAAAAAATAAAATCAGATCAAATGGACAAAAAAACATCTCTCTCCATTTGTTCATTATCTATCTCCTACTCCATCCCATTCCATTCCACCCCATCCATCCATCCATCCATCCATCCATCCCAACACATCCACACAGCACCCACACCCTCCCCCAGAAAATCCTTCTCATTCACCCAGATCCCTAGATCCCCACCCCCATCCCACCCCATCCCATCCTCCCACCCCAAACCCAACAAGAAACCAAACCCTCTCCACCATCCATCCATCCATCATCATCACATCATATCAAAAGAGCGGACAATCTTGTCCTTAATCTCAGTCCCCATCAAAATCAAAATCAAAATCTTAATCCCAAATCCCTCCCTCCCTCCGAAAATCCAAATTTTTCCCATTCCATCCCATTCCATCCCATCCATCCCATCCATTCCATCCCATAATATCCAAACACCACCAACTTCCTCCCACAACGACGTGGGAGTACGACCATAAACGACCAAAGTACAAATAAACGTACCAAGTATTCATTCGAGCCGTGAAGAAATGAAATAGTGAGAAGGAAAACAAAATCAACAAAAAATCTCCATAGATAACAAAAGGGGGTATGTGTGTTATAGTAACCAAGAACCAGAACCAGAACAAGAAACAATTCCGCCGTGCTCAAAAATGCGCTAACCTCGCGCTGAAAATATGGTACAGTAAAATAAGGAAATGCCCATCTCCGGAAGAAATGCTCATTAAATGTGAAAAAATAGTCGTTAAAGAAACGACCATGAGGTATCATCTAAACGAAAAGCGAGAGAGAGGGAGAGAGAGAGAGAGATGAGAAGAGAGCGCAAATAAATCCCAACGCAAAGCAAAACGCAGAATCAACTCTCTTCCATAATCCCCACCTCGTCCCCTCCTTCCTCTCTCCATTCCCGACTGCGATCCGTCATTCTCTTGATCCCGCTCACGCGACCCGCCCAGAGACTTTCCACCGTGGTGCGGAATGTATATCCACGCTGACTACTAATCACCCCAATAGCTTGCAGTACGGCTTTTCTACTATCCCGACCAAATACAGCAGGATGATTGATCCATTCGAGACTCGCCTCCAACTCCGCATCAAGAGCCGCAACAGTATTGGGATCGATACCCGGGGCCGTGACAACAGCCGAAAGTGCATCATTTGATCGGTGTCGAGGAATCGGACCCAGAGTGTGATTTGAGGTCATTGTCGTAGCAGATGTTGGGGAAGGGGTGCGACGTCTATCGGGAGTACGATTCGTAGGTGATGAAGAACCCGTGCGAGATGAGAGATTGTGATTGGGGGATTTAGAAGGTGGAGGTGGAATGGGTGGGAGACCACCTTTTCCTAATCCTTTCAGGATCGATCGTGTCTCGCTCAAAAGATGTTGTGCGCGGTCGTGCTGGCCGCGAGAAACCAATGTGAGAGCGCGTGTAAGCATGTCAGAGGTGAGAAGTTCCATACGTCGTTGAACGACGCTTGGATGGGGCGGAATGGGTGGTGCACTATTCCAAGTCGTGTGTTTCTTCTGATTTGTTGGGGCAGGAAGCATAGTGATTGCTAAGAGTGAAGGGCGAGGTAAATGAGCAAGTGTTCCATCTCTGAGGATATCTCCCCAAGTGAGGTCAGCTTGGATCAGAGGAACTTCCTCTATTGAGACGACTCGTTGATCTTCTTGATCAAGTGACCCACCAAGAGCCTCAAGACCAGAAACTATAGAGTCCCATGGATCTTGAGCGAGTTGTTCTTGCGAAGCATTATCAGGAGCAATAACTAGCTGCACTAAAATATCCCTCTTGTCGCCAAATCTCAAATCTCCCAAAGAAGCCTCGGCGTCTTTACCCGTTGCACGCTTAGTGATCTGTAAAGCCCCGCTAATCTTAACAAATTTAGCTGGCGATCCCTCAGGAAGTCGAAGCTTTAATTTCACATTTTGATGTGACATTGTTTGAAGAGATCCAAGACAACCCGCAAGACATTCTCGCAACATCATCCAATCCTTCACGTATGTGTAAGAAGCTTTAGTTCGCGTTGATAATTCAATCATGGTGTCTGGCTTGTGGGTCATACCGAGCCCGAAAGAGTGAATAGCAATCCTAAGTAAAAGTGTTAGCCATGATTTTCTCCGCAAAACATCAATATCCAACCACTTACTTAGCGGCCTCAGCTCTTGATACCACAAAATCCACGCTCTCCGCATCGGATGTAGACGAGTCACTAATCAAAAGAATCGTAGCAATTGGATTATTCGACCTTCGTTGCATAAGAAGATCCATCGCCACATTTGCACCCTCCACAACATCTGCTCGATGACTCTTTTGTCCAACCGGTCTGATCGACGCCAAAATTTGCTGCCATCCATTCCATGTTCTACTAGTCATTCCTACAAGCGGTGCTGCACCGCCACTGGAACCAAATGTGACCAAACCCATACGATCACGATCTCCCAGGTTGGAAACCATAAATTTCAATGCATCTCTCACCAGAGTAATCTTGACACCTTGCATCGAAGAAGATATTGGAATCACAACCACAATATCAACAGGAACGTGAATTGCAGCTGGTAGTCGGAGACCTATAGGTGCACTTGCGTAATCTGCCGGTGCGGCGGTCGCGGATCTAGGTCCATAGGCCGAGGAATTAACCGACACTCGCTGGAGACCTGTAGAATCGCGACTCCATTCTTCTTCTTCTGGCTCTGACAAATCGTAATCTGGACTTCGTGCTGGAGAACCCTCGATAGCGTTTAAATCCAACAAAGCCTGCTGCCACAATTTAAGCTGATTGCGATTATCGAACTTGAGATGAAATGATGGGAGTTCGGCCACTGACAGACTCAAGGTCAATATGTTGTTATCTTCAGTAGGGCGTAAGTTAGCTGCGGTGATTTTTTCGGTTTGCCCAAGAGAATTACCAGATCCTGATTCAGTCACCTCGTTCAAGTGCTTTTTGATTAATATTGATCCTTTGAGTGTGCATCGAGTACTTTTGCGAACGCCATTGGATTCATCCCATGGTTGTGACGATGAAATCTTCTTTTCTTTCACGCAGATCAGCATTTCTGCGAACAGGAAACATTCCAGTTCCTGCCAAGATTGCCTGTCTTTTCCAACTCGAATAGTTCCATATAATCGTAATTTTCCAAATCTGCGTATCATTAGTATTTTATTTATCTGCTACAATGCATGATGATGTATACCTATTAAAGTCAAGACCATGCCAATTTTCCACCCGAGTTCGTAAACCTTCGGTGATTTCGTCCAAAACCTCTGGAGATTCATAGGGGTAGAAACGTGGTGCGCTCTGAGCTGGAGATGGGGGTCGAGCATAGGTATCTTCAGGTCGAATGTTGGGTAGTGGAGGGGCACCTCGAATATCATCTGGGTCGGGTCGCCATTTATTGTCAGGAACCTCGATTGTGATAAGACAAGTCAAAGTTTGTTGCTGTCTGGACCTGTTCAAGGTTGGGAACTCTGAACGAATGCTGACGACCGGAGCTGGAATGGGGTTCCTTGTAACACTTGCTCGAGGGCTCATAAGATTCGATTCCATCGCTTGCACATCGTAGTCATGACGGCGAGGTGGGCCGCTTGTTGCAGTCTCTGGGTACCCAACGGATGAGGGAGCATTTTCGCTATCGTTTCTTTGGTGCGAGATTCTCGATGGTTGTGCGTATCTATCCATGCGCTCCCGACTATCCCCACTATCTCTGTTGCTACCATTATCTCTGCTATTATCTCTAATGTGGGTATCCTGACTGTTCGCTCTCGTTCTGGTAGTTCGAGCATTGGAATCGCGACTGGGTGGTCGTACGGTCTGGGATTCCCAATTCGAGGGTGTGGGCGTTGATCTCGCGGACTGGTCGCTGGCCGAAACTGAACGCACAATACTACTTAGCTTCTCTGGAGGGGCAGCAGGAATCAGCTTTAGTTTTCAGGGAAGACGAACCACTACTTTTGAAAGTCTTACCAATGTCAAGAACATTGCCTCCTCGACTCGTATCCAGACCTAAGGGCGCATTGCAAGTTGGGCAATATTGAGCGTCGCTTTCCTTGATGTATTCGTAAAAACATGCCTCATGAGAGACATGGCCGCAGGAAAACTGCAATATTCGTTCGCCTCGAAGGGTATGTTCCAATGGCTCTTCACACACAGAACATTCGCTGCCAACAAACGTCCTCTCCCTCCTGTTACGAGTTCTGTCCGTGTCCAACATTCCTGACATTCCACCACCAGCTCGTTGTTTGAAATCACGATTCGCCTTACTGGCTAGAGGGGAGACCGAAGAGAACGACGTATCTGAAATCCCACGAGTATGTTCAAGAACTTTTCGATTACCTGGTGAAGAAGAAGTATACAAGTTAGTCAATATGAAGGTAATTTTCACGCATTAGTATGAGCGGAGGGGTGGAGTAATGGCAATTTGGAGTTTGGCTACTGCGTACCCTTTTTGGGATGGGATCCTGCAACGCGGGCTCCACCAGATGAATCCTTGACCTTGTCTCTCTCTCGTCTCCTGGATCTTTTATCCGAGTCGCTGAGTAGTCCAAGCTCATACAACCTTGAAACCTGGTCTTTTTGTTCCTCTGCTCTGCGGCTAAAGCTAGTGAGATTCCTACCAGTATCGGAAGTGGAAGGGGTGGTCTTATGTCCCAAGAACCTTTTCGACATGAACCGCTGTTCCAGAGGGTCTTGTTTTCAAAAGCTCTGTCCGTCAATATTAAGTTTGTTCGCCCACTTTTTTCTGAATATAATCCGCTGCTAAAAAAAACCCAATCAATCCAAGATTTATGAACAGTAACGTAATAATTCTCAGCACATAAAATGTTCGCTTGTGAGAGTTGAGATCCGGCCAAATCCTGAAAGTCCGAACCAAGGAAGATTTGGGGTGGCGATGCTAAGAATTGCGCGCTGGTGAGATTTCGATCTCTGTCTTTCGGGACTCTAAATTTGGCTATGGGAATGAGGACAGGACTACCGGGAATGGGTACAGGAGCTAATCGTAATCCAGAGGGTGTGACGCTGTGGGGAATTTTTGCAAAAGGGCTTTCCACTCTTCAGTGTGCTGAATCACGGCTTAGGTCAGAGTAATTGAATAGGATTCGAGGTAGGAATGACCACTATTCGATGTAATTCGAGATCCCGCGTTTGGTTACTGGGCTGCAGTTATGAAAAGACGAGCTGAAGTGTTAGGCCAATAATGCAAATGCAAATGCAATTAAATCGAGTGGGCGTCCGAGAGCTTTGCGAATTACTACTAGAAGGGAGGGGCGAGACTTGCGAATTTGCGAATCATGAAATTGTGCGAATCGCGACTACAGGGTAATTGAGTTCATTCGTGAGGAGCTTAGTGAAATATGATGAAAGTTTGAGAGAGCATGAAGTGAGTGAAGAGAAGAAGTTGACGAACAGCAAGATGTGGAAAGATAAATGTGAACGCCGCCCACTTACAGTAGGTAGTAAGTGATGGTACCACCATATCTAGGCAGTAAAGATAGCAAGCAGTTGTCTGTAAGAAAAATTGAATAATGTTATGCCGGAACTCCATTATACCCAACAGCTCAAATACATGAATTCAGGCACGTAAACGATGGGCGCTGTCCAGGATACCTACAGGACTGAATGATTTTCAGGACTTCGGAGTCTGGCTTCACAAGGAAGAGCATGACGGGATTGGTTCAATGGAGGGGCTGGTGAAGATTTGGTAATTGTGGTGGTGCAGGAATAATTAATGGCAGTAACGACTTCTGGTAATAATCTTGATAATGATATCGCAAAATGCTCAGACTGACTGGAGTAGACAGACCTCGGGTATTTAGTAAGCTTCTTCCAGTTTAGCACACCTCCGGAAAACATGCATCTACGTATTGAACCACATGCTATACTTTGTAGTTTGCATAAGAAACTTATAACGCGAAAGTTAGAATAATGAATTTCCCTTCCAAGCTTGAAAATTAACACTCGTCAGGTACTAGTGCACAGTAGTTTGAGCAGCTTTTGCAAGGTAGCTTAGCGATGATCATACGATAAGCCCGATTTCAAAATGAAGGGGCTCTAAGGTTGAATAAATTACCACCAGGCCCTTTTGACCCTTTGAGGTACTTTGAAAGTTCCAGTCTATTAGCAATCATTGTAAACATGTTGACATAATAATGACAGCTTGATAAATTGACGGGACAAGTTTTGTTTCTACTTTGACACAGGCCGAAACAAGGTAGATCAACAGGAACTGTGGCTTTAGGCTGTACCAGTAGCTCATATCTAATATAGGCCGTAGGGTGCTAGTACTCGTGCGGCTACAAAGTATGCAACTCATGCCTCAATAGGATTAAGCTACTGTGGGGAAGCTTCCTAGAGTTTGAAAAGGGCATAAATCATTGAAATTTGGGCTGAAAGTAGTAGAGCTTCAATATAAGCGAGCCATTCACTTTATTGATTTTTCCAAATCTCCATTTAATATAGTGGGATTGGAAGAAGCAGTGGATTCCATTGGCCCATTAAGACCAATATAGTGTATTTAGCGCCGGAGTTGCATACTTTCTGGTAGCACGAGTATAAGATGAACGTCGGAAATTTTACCAGAAAAGAAACAATCTCCATGTGGGTAACTTCCGACTTGCAGTATGCAGTTGATTGAACTTGCAGATGGGAACAGTACACTTGGGTTCTACACTGTACTCGACGCAATATTCTTGATCTCATCACCTTCTAAACTCGGTTCCTCGTAGATTTATCTTCAATCTTCAACCCTACCGACCCCCAGTCTCCAGCGATATATTATTCTCGACTGCACATTCTAACATTCGAACCATCGTGCCAATCAAACGATTCTATCATAGTGCTGCTATCCCTGGTCCGCGCCCGTTACCCGCCTATCCTCTCGGATATCCCTGGTCTGTGACAATGCTCACTAGGGTCTATCTCCATCATGCATGCAAAAATAATTACAGGGTACACAAAACAAGGAAGATCTTGCGGGTGAAAGTAGCCAGTCACAGCCAAAATCACGGAGTATCATTATCTTTTAGTTCTGCAAGATAAGTTTCTGTCTATCCGATCATTTCTTCTCATGGTCATTAACGGCTGAAAGAAACACATTTACATGATACTCGCAACCTTTCTTCGGGGTATTAGGTTTTCAGGAGAGAAATATTTCCAAAAAAGAATGAAGTCCCCCATTCTTCCCAGAATTCCCTTCCAGCTGTCTGTTAATAATCCGACTGGGGAAGCAAAATAGATGATTCGTTTCTTCGTTCCGTAAACAGTAGAAAGAAATGATTCGAATACGAAGGAAGTCTTTAACGTCTTTGACTATCGACTATCTGAGACGAATCCGACGATGTTCTAGAAAACTGGGACTAGACTTATTATTGCGCACTATCCTGGACTATTTGATTCTGGCATCTGTCATATTGATTCAGACCCCATTCTTAACACTTCAATCGATCCTGAGGTTAGAACCGGTGGTCCGGTGGGTAAGATTCTTATTAACAGCCCCAACATGGAAATATTCTAAAGCTTTCAACCCCACAACACGAAGCATGAAATAAGTACAAATAATGATCTGCCCTATAAGAAACGGATCGACCTCTGCTACATGCGTAATCAAAAGTAATTAGGGAGAAAAAAGCCGGAATTTTGGGTCCTTCCAAGTTCCAACTCCTATTTTTTGCTGCAGACATCGTGGTTCCCACGCGGTTTATATCAATGTCTCATCCCCATATCCACTTTGGATCGTCGAAACTACGGGAATGCCGCCACTGAAATCAGGAACAGAAATAGTGATATCCGCTGTCATTACCTTTCGATAGACATTATTGTAATATGACAGGAGTCAAGGGACAAGAAACGTAAATGACATTTTGTTAATCTGCAATGACTACATGTCGTATATGTTGTACGCCAAAGGCCTAGACGACCTGAAGAAGATTCAAGCCACAACCACTAGACTCAAATAATTACTCCGAGACTGCTCAGATGTCTTCTAGAAACCTTCGAATCGTGTGGTCAGAGCTTTCATATTTAGATGCATATCAGAATCGTACTTTTGCGTCCTGAGCGTGCTTCTAGGATAGGTTCAAGAATAGGTTTAGAGTGCCTCTCGAGCCTCTTTAACTATGGAAGGTTGCGCGATCGATCTAATCTCAAGCTACTAATAATCCCCAAGGAGGATTTCAGAGGATTGAATTAATTGTGCGGCACCTCCGTTCTGTACTCAATTGGGTGCACCCGCAAGTATGTGCTTATGAAAAGCAACTTCGGCAGCTAAAGTGACTATCTATCCGTCTGTGTTATATGAATTCCTCAGTCGCTACACGCGCATCAGCTGTAACTATTGAATTGTCATTCCCTAACAAATACCAAGAGATATAATTATGCGATATGCTTACAGCATCAAGACTAAACGATGACATGTTTAAACTATCGCCGCATGTATCAAGCTCAAAACGTACAATTGCGAGCAACAACCGGCTTTCATCTCATCTGATTCGTTTAAACTCTATCAGATGTTAGACAGCGTGGCTTGATGTTACCCGAACTACTCCCAAAACTTCTATCAGTAAGGATCTGATGTCAGCTTCACGTAGCTGCGCCGCGGGTAGTCATTGCAGCTTGTAAAGTGGCGCTCGCATACATATAAAAAGAACATTCGCAGAAAAATCAAATGCTGTCGAAGCGCAGAAGAGTTGTGATTGGTTGACTAATTTACCTAATGACAAAGACATCATCATTCGAACTTTCAGCCCACTATCGTGCAGAATACATGCTGCGATGTTACCCTCCGAGTACATCATCGTCCCGAAGAAGAAACATCTGACAACATTTCCGCCATTTTTGGAAATTGCTTTACGAGCAGTGTAACAATTCTACAGGAAATCCTTCGCAAACCTCACCTTGAAACACATGCAACCAGTAACATAATAAATTCACATCGATCTTTTGTCCAAAAGTAACCTTATTCAAGCATTCTCTAATGCACCCCAATCCATTTTGACAACGATCACTAGGTTATTTTGTGGCTTGCATGTTCAGATCGATGTCCACAGATCATCGCGTACTAAGCATTGACTTTGATTACTGTGGTGTCCGCAAGCACCAATATCATAGTTGATAATTCAAGAGGATAATTTTGCTAGATTGGCGTTTCTTGTATAGTATGAACTTGTCCAGCTGGACAAAATTCGGTCGTAACGTATTCAAACTCTATCATCCATGTCATGTTCTTTGCGGTAACTTAACTACGAACGATGTCAATCCATCAGACTGTCGTCGCTCAACTTTCATAGGTGATCTAAACAAGAACGCCTCAAAGATCTATGTGCTTCAGATTCTTATTACATTTCTCGATCAGTTCCAAGGAATTATCACGGGTGTCAGTGCGAATGCTTCCCGTTATCTCATTACATGAAACGTGTGCTTCCGAGAGGCGGTTCACAATAGGGTTCCAAAGACATCTGGCCCACGTAACTGGATTTACTTTCTTGTTAGTTTGTATCGAGCCTCGTCGCTTGTTAATTTAGCCTCACATTCTTAGCCTCTTATTTGGCGATTTCACAACAGCATTGACGGAGCTTTTCTCTGCATCCGCATCGCTGAGCAGTCTCTGCCCTATAAGGTCCTGTCAGTGCTTAATGCTTGGTCAATTCTAGCTTCCACTTCCATTCAAACCTATCAATTCACTAATGAGAATGCCAAAACGGTAAGTTTGGTTTGATATCCTTTAAACGACAATTCGGGCATCTATTTTCTCCTCTGTCTTTTTCGACTCAAACAGTTTCGAAACTTGATGAATTGAGGATTGTCTTGACCAAGCCAAAGTGTGAAGACTAAGAACAGTGTGGACAGTTTCAACTCGTCAGCGAGCTAATTACCATGATTGTGAGCGAGTCCACTTTCCTGATTATTTTCCCATGTTAATTATCATACTCGCGTTGACATCGTCACATGAATCTCATAGCTTCCTAAACTCAATATACACGATACCTCTATCCAAGCTCACCCAACACCTTACCAGTCCACTTCCTCCCGGGTGCGCGCCATTTACCCCGCAAAGCTAAGATTTTTTACATGCAGATTTTCAGCGCCATATAGGCGCAACCGATATGAAAATCGATGATTAAGACAGTTATACTTTTTCAATCCACCTGAACTGGTACGCTTTGATCAAGATTACATATTACTGTTAATGATTTTCACCTTGTGCTCACGCTCTTAGCTACAATCTGTCTTGGCTCAACACTAACACGAGTCATCAAGACAACATGAATGTGGATTGAGGAATCGTGAAAACTCAAAATATCCTCATTATTCTTGCGTATGCAAGTAGAATACCCACATTTGTTGTTCAAACTAGAGAAACCCTTCTTTGCTGCAATGACTGCAGCAAATTAAGATCTAGACTAGGGCTTTCTTGAGTAGTCAAAACGCGAGGCCGCTGTTCAACCGATGAAGATCCAGCCGGGTTGATGCTTTGAGTTCCCGTGTGCTTTTGACGGTCGTTTGATAGATATTACAATTACAGTAGCTATCTGATAAGTGCATACAGTATCCATCTACATATCATAGGTCAGATAATGCCACCCACCAGTCGTCTAGCCACATGCCATCTGAACGCCACAAAAGCATAATAGACACAACTTCCCCGTTGCGTTTTGCGCCTCACATTGTCTTTCAGCTTCTCACTATGAGTACAACCAATAATATCACGTTCCTATCACTTCCTGTCACACAAACACACATAGTCCGGATACTTGCAACACTCTTATATAAGCATGCAGATGAACAGCGCTGAGCAATGATTCGATTCGTCATATGTACACCTGCCACCATCCGCCTAGGTGTCTACCTACAACAGGTAGCTAAATACCCGTATCATATACCCGGACCCAAGGCAAGTTCTGCGAAAGCCAGTACGTACATACATACGGACATCTTTAATTTGCGGTGGCAAAGAAAAGACGTAATCTTCAGCCCTAGCTACGGGCCTTTTATATACAAAATTCATGCAAACCCTTGAAAATCGCAGGTGTACAAAATCACCTGGATTTTAAAGAGGGGATGAGAAACTTGGAGGGCGGAGGCTCGAGCTCTTTTTGGCGGGGTACATACACCAACATCCACTACTAAGCCACCGACACAAATTTTGGAAGTTCTACAAGGTGCCTGGATGTGAAGTTGATGCTTTTTCATGCCATCCGTCGGGTGTAACCAACCTTTGATAATCTATCTAGATGCCTGCACTGAATTGAAGTCATTGACACACTGGGACAGAGCGTAGAGAACGTTGCTGTAATAGCCTACCAACATTTGAATCGTGGCTTTAGATTATTGACCCAAGATTAGATAGATATTGGGGAGATTTGCAAAACTCAAATGGTAGACTAGTTTTGGGTAGACTATGATCTATCAGATCCAGTCAGGGTCCAGGAACCGTAACCATACTGTTGGTAAGTGATGCTACGACCCTCCTTCCCATCGTGGAAAATATCAGGAAACTAGACAAGCTACCCATCTACTTGGTAATGCAGGAAATGTTACGGAATGGTGCCGAAATTTTATCAAATTAATATCAAACTATTTTATACCTCTGACCATTCCAGTTCTCGTATTTGCTTTTTAGTTTCCAAATGCCGGCGGTGCACTGATGATAGATACCGTGCGCGGGGGTGGCGTGGAAATAATCATTTTCTTTGCTTTTGGGGACCAGTAGATCAGTGCTTGTGGTAGATCCTGTTCACTCAATTTCTTGCTTGAGATTGAGAATCCTATGTATTCGTATTTGATGGCTCACATCATATAATTTGACTCCGACATGATGTCTCAGTGTATGAGACAGCGAGCGTTTTCTCCGCCTTAATTAATGGGAAGAGTAAAACTGCCGGGTGAATCTGACAGGAGATTTCCAAGGGTAGACCAGGAAACTTGAATACGGTTGAAGTATCTTCAGGACATCAGTCGTTTGCGTGGGAAGTAAATTTCGATCATTACCGAGGTGCCTCGTTGAAATCACATCCTCAAAGTCATACTCACAGTCTGAAATGGCGCTTACTAGCCTTCAAGATGAGGGTTTTGAAGACTCTCAGTCTGGATGAACTGCTAAGAGTTCACCAACAGTCCAAGCCTCGGAAGTCCAAGCGACTCATCTCCTCAAGAGATGCCTTGATGCCCTGAGTCAAGGATCAAGCCATCAGAACCATCGATCATTCTGGGCAATCTTTTTGGCAGTAGTCTCGCTCGAGTCTCGCTCATTGCTCGGAATTGATTGTTCCCGGAATGACTACTCATGCCCCAGCTGAATAGGTTCATTGCCGCCATTCTCAATCATTATCACGCCACAACTAACGATGGAATTGTGATAGCACAATTGTCGTGGTATGCGGAGAGCCGAGGTTACCGGACAGTGACGGGCCACACTGTGATACCGAATCCATCTCGGATCCAGATTAGCCGATTTTCACAATTCTCCACTTTCAACAGTGGATGAAGAGAACCCTTTCCCCAGCCTATTTTCATACGGGCATTCGGACTATTCATATCGTTCCATCTCTCTGATTCATCTCATGGATAATGTCCTCCTGGGCTTTCGCACTAAGCCATCTTGATACCCGTCACTTCCGTCAGGTAAATTAATGGCCTGTTTCTCGCACTCGCAAATTACTGCGGCTAAATTGATGACATCTCTGTCTGAGCTTCGATATGAGGAAAACAAATAAAATGATAACATGTAATATGCGGTCCTCGGAATTTCATTTTCGTTCATGCGTCTTGCGTGTCTCATCACAGACCGAAAAACGGGGCCACATCTTAAGTTTTTCCAAGTTCGGCATTAAGATATGGGGCGAGCTTCTCGGTACCAAACAAAGTTTTTTGGAAACTTCTTCACGCGGGTGTGGAGCTGATACCGGTCTACGGAATAGATTTGTTGCAAGGGCCAGACGGAGCCGTCATGCAGGTGCTTCCAGTTTCGTGATGAAATTGGCGATGTGAGTTTCAGGTCTGCGGTGATGAACTTTGTGTTCCAAGCGAGGCTCGAAAATGGGGGTATCCTCCACGTGTGCATCCGAACACATTTCCGACTGTAGATAAAAGCGGGGGATTAGGTATCGGCTCACAGCGGAAGTGATCGAATTGGTGTGTCGATATATGCCACATGTTGAGTTGATATTGTTGTGATTTTGAGTGCATGCAACGCAGTTGAGGAAACTCTCCACGGGTGGCCTGTCGTGCAATGATTTAGGGGCCAAGAACATCGTAGTAGATCAAAGTGCTCTGATGATTGTTTTATCGTGATAGAAAACCAATCTGCCAGAATATCCGTAATAGAGAAAAAGATGCAGCCATCCTTTTGGACCAAAGATAGACATGGTACATCTTGCAGCCGCTATAGAAGTAATCAATAGCTTTCATCAGTGCAGGCTTTTGTCTTGCGCGACGCGAAACGGTGCTCTGGATAGTCACCAAGTGGTCACTTCTGAACAGAATTTGTCCTCTCTTATTGGAAGGTTACTTCTGTCGTATCAGCGACGATGAACACCGACAATGCCATTACCCGTCATGTGTTAATCATGCACTTTGTTACGCTAGGACGCGTTTCGCGCAAAGTTTCCACTCGAGTATGCAATGTCGAACGAACGGCTGGCTGTGTCTCTCACTGGATGTTTGAGATTGGTGTCTTGCCGCATCTGAAAAAATTCAAACTGTGACCACAACAATCGTAAAAACTGCCAGGATAGCTATTATAGTGGCTTCGAAAACTGAGATGATTAGGGCCTGGATTATTGCGATTCATCAAATCGATAAGTAATTGTCGGGAACCCCGATTAGGTAGGTAGCGAAAGGTTTCCATGCAAGAAAATCATATTGGTTCATTTGGTTGCAGCGGTATCACCCGAAAATTCAACTTTCCCAAATTAGAACAAGAGCAATTGAAGGATCATTGGCAATGGCCCAACACTTGAGGTTAATATTCGCTACTTTTCGAGATGACCAGTGAGGCTGTTGCCACACCAATCATACATGTGCCTCAAGGCTTATATGCACCGAAAGGCTCAGGAAGCGTGCTGTAACCAGGCAACACGATGATACTTTCATTGATATTTGGGACGATATCTGCTCTTCCTTTTGGTGCATAACCCAGCATCATCAATTCCACGACTCGTCCGCAATGACAGCTCCAGTAGCAGCATCGGCCAACACTCACGACCCATGGCTCATTGCCAGGAATCGCTTTATTGAAGGACTTGATCCTGCAGAGCGGGCACTATTTAATGAGGCTACGCCAGAAAATCTTTACTACAAATCCAGCAATATCCAGAAGGCCGATCAGAAAAATAGCAAAACTCGAGCGATTTTGAAGTCTCTCGAGCCTTTGACGAAATCCATCCAAGATTATGGTGCGGCAATGGATACTTTCACCAACATTGCGCCTTTATACCTTGCTCCAATATGGGGAAGTATTCGTGTTATACTTGTCCTGGCTAGCAGCCAAGGAAAGTTCTATGATCGAATAATAGACACTTTTGCTCGCGTGGGAGATATACTTCCACGATTGCGTGAGTTTAATTCCTTAAGATATTTTTTGTGTTCTAATGCTCTAAGACAGGCGACTATCAAGCAATTTTTGACCAGGAAAAACACCCGAAATTTACGCAAGCATTGTCAGCAGCCTATCTCGACATAATTGTTCTTTGTTCAGATTTCAAAAATATATTGGCCGGGCAAAAATCTTCCTTCGTCAAGCGTATGAGATCTCCCTTGTCCACATCTCTCGGAGCGCAACTTGACAATGCTGTGCAAACATTTAGAGAACACCGTAAAGCGGTTGAGAGTGAAGCTAAGATGTGCCATTATATCGAAGCGAAGGAGTCTAGAGAACTTGAATTGAGAGAAAGAATGCGGAGCAAAGAACAAGATCGCAGTAAGTAGTATCGTAGGCTACTCCATGGTTGCTTCAAGTTCAGACTTCGTAATAGGAGACAGAGAACGAAAAATCGTCTCCCAGATGGCCACAGTTGATTGCAGCAACAAGCATTGTCGACTAAAGAAGATAAGGTATCATGGGACCGGGAGCTGGCTAGCCAGTGTGGCCGACTATAGGGATTGGAAAACCCAGAACAAATCTTCTGTCATGTCATGTTATGGTATTCGTAAGCTGCAGGTATTGCCCATAGATTGATAATTGCTAAATTCTACTAGCTGGATCCGGCAAATCGGTCTTGGTCTCGAGCCTTATAGACGGATTCAAAATGTCCTTTCCTGCCGACACTACCATTTCCTATTATTATTGTGACTATGCTGACAAGAGAACACTCTCTCCGAGTGGTCTTTTTAGTTGCATTTCTCAGAAATTGTTTCGCAGCATGGACAAAATTCCTGATGCTCTGATGAATATCCTCGAAGCTGAATATCCAGACGAGACATCATCACCCGGTCTAGATCAAACCTTCGCGTTGCTAATAAAGGCAATAGATGAGCTATCAAGTGTGGTTATTTTTATTGATGGCGTAGACGAACTACTCGAGTCCGATCGGAGGCTTACTTTTTCAATCTTGAGAAGGATCCTTAACGAGGTAACATCGCCAGTCAAATTATTTGTTTCCAGTCGCGAGGATATCACTTATCTTTTTCAAACTTCATCCGATCTCACTACTTGCAAATTGTACCTTCAAACGAAATCTATCTCTCCAGATTTTGAGGCGTATATCAGACATGCTATCAATGAGTTGTTTACGTCTGGCGACTTAGTGCTGGGTAATTTATCTCTTAAAGAGGATATTTTCAATGTTCTCAGAGATGGTGCAAAAGGAATGTAAGTGTTTTCTTCCATACTCGCTCTGCAAGTATGCTGAACTTGCTTCAAGGTTTCTTTGGGTCCAGTTTCAGCTTGAAGAGCTCTGTCGCATGGAAACGGATGCAACGACCATAAAAGCTCTACAGAATCTTCCTCGCAATCTTGAGGAGACTTATGACCGACTTCTTAGACGGATTGTCGAGATCGAAAGGCGTGAATTTGTAAAAAGGATGTTTGACTGGATTATTTGCTCATGTAGACCATTACACATGGACGAGCTTCGGGAGGCCGTCGCTTTCATTCCCGGCGATAAGGCATGGGATGCAAAAAAGATACCAAATGATCTTCGGAGATTGATCAGAGCATGTGGAAATTTTATATTGATCGATGAAGACACTAAAATGGTACAGCTTGCGCATTATACAGGTAAGAGGTTCTTTAAATCATATCATGCAACAAAGTCGAGCGAGTTTCTATAAATTCTATTTGGCTACTTGTTTTACCAGTAACCTCCATAAGGATTGAATAGTAGCTGATCTGAAGACATCCTATCAGTCGAGCAGTATATTCTCCATTCGCAAAATTCCGACTTGGCATACTTTCACACCACAAGGGAAGAGTCAAATAGAGCACTGGGTGCGACTTGTGTGACTTATTTGTCTTTCACTGATCTCGAAGCACAAGTCACAGTATACCACAATGCCATCAACCCAAATATGACGGTGTTACAGGACGCCGTTACGACCCAGTCTTTAATACCGAGGGCATCACAGTCATCGAATCTTCCGGCCAAAGCCACCAAAGCCGCTTTAATTTTTCGAAATTTCCACAGAAACAGTCAAAGTAATGTTGACTATTCTAGACATATACCAAAACATGGAACGGCCAATCAGCAGATTCTCGACAAGTATCGGTTGATCGCTTATCTGAAAGAAAATTGGCTTTCACACACTAAAGACTTTACAGAGGAGAGTTGGAGGATAGGTGCATTGTTCCAAAATCTACTCTTCAAGAAACAACTCACCTTTTCTTTCATACCCTGGAAGAAGTTTTCGTTTGGGGATTGCGCCAGGATTGCGCCTCTGTGTTGGGCCCTGGCTGAAAACCACCTACCACTATTGAAGGAAGTCCTAGCAAATGATCATAAGACTCCTTATTACATTACTGAGGCATGTTTATAATTCTGGAATACCATAGGATATCGCAAAGCGAACGGAAGCCGAGAACAAATCGACGTATCAAGCCAAAGTCTCAAGGTATTGGAAAATCGTTCCCTTGAATACGTATCATCAAAAACGGACTGTCTTTTCTGGCTGTATAGCCAGATGATGATTGCCTGTCGAAAAGGAAATAGCGAAGCCTTGAAAATATGCGTGCAGCTCATTATTGAGACGAACATGCCAGCTTTACCAGACCTTGGTCTCCGGTTCAACCAAATGCCGACACTGAAGTCTCTTGTATTGGCTCATCTTCACCTTGAAGCATCTGTTCATGGCCATTTGTATTTATTGCAGAAGTTTCAGGCAGCTGATCTCTTGCCTTTATGGGTTGCTTATGAATACGAAGGATTTTATTTCAACTCATTGGAACGAGTAATAACGCTTCCGTACGATGAAATAACCGACTACCTAATTACCAGAGACTATCCAGTGTCAAATAGAGCTAAGCTCAATGCTCTAAAAACCCAAAACATAAAAGCTATTGTCAAGTCCGGGGACTTTACGGCACTGGAGCGTCTTGTGAAATTTTTAAGAAAACACAACGACAATCTTGATGTACTTAATAGCGAACCCTCATGGTTTAGAACACAAGATGAGATACATAGGCACGAAATCTGGAGATACAAACTCGATGCGATCAAAACCGCAGCGTCTCTCGGTCTCTGTAACTCCCTTCATATATTGCTCAGTTGGGAGCCGCTAAACTCCGACACTGATTTCTTTGCTGAAAGGCACGGGGCTTTTCTGACGGCCATAGCTTGTTCACGCCTGGAAATCATAAAGTATTTGCTTTTGGTTGATCACTACAAAGACCAGCGATACTGGCTCCAGTCAGCACCACCTAAAATGTACGGTTTGACGCAAGACTTCCAGCATATGTGTCTCGTGGAGTACGCTGTTGAAAATAGAGAGATCTCCGAAAGATTCAAAGCCTTTGTGCTAAACGCAGTTAGTTCTGCTGAGGATTCTGGTCCAGCCTCACGCATGAGTAGCTCGGAAAAATCCGATGGGTCTTTGATACATGCAATCGCCGAAGGCAAAACCGAGGCGGTCATTCGCCTCGGCGGCCGCAAGCATTTTGACAGCAGATACTGGGCTCGAAACCTGCCAAAATTACCTCTTGTAATTGATGACTATCTTTGGCCAGATCTCCAGAGCGATCCAAGGCACAAGCAAGCCGCTCCATTGGTATGGGCTGTTATCTATAATCGCCCCCAAGTGGTCGAAGCCCTCTTATTGCAAGGAATCCCACGCAAGGGTCTCAACACGATTGAAGTTGCTGCAACATGTGCTGTCTTAATAGATTCTGTAGAGATATATTCGCTACTAGAGGAAGTTCTAATTTCTGATTACGACCCGACGATGGTTGCATGGGGATGTAAATCGAATTTCTTTGCCGAAGGCGATCTAATCGATCGAGCTTTAGCACGGGGCAAGTATCATCAGTCGAATTCTAATTCCAAAGTTGCGCGCTATATAGATTCCTGGGTTCTTTGGCATTGGGGAGGCAAGACTCCAGACTCCACAGAAATATTACGGGAACATCTCAAGAGAGCAACACCTGCAGAGAGAAACGAAGTTCCAATCGAAAACTGTTTTGAATTGCCAGCATCCAATGAAGTCACGAGCATGCTTCCAAGCTATGGAATGCATTACCTTCCAGAATCCGGCTCCTTTCGCTTTAGGAATATCTGCTTTTATATGGAGGGCCTGTACGCATCTGCACGTTATCCAGCACAGCAACTCAGTTTCCAAGACAAATCAGACTACACCCACACGTCCGATGGCGTTTCCATCATGTCTGAATGTTCAGGCAATTAGCCCATCATTTCTTATTCAAGTAGTGTGGTAAGTTTTATCCCGGTTCTGATATTGAAGCTCATAACTTTATTGACATGACTCAATCCATTGTTTCAGGAGGCTTCAAAGTTCTATTCAATGCCAATCAACTTAGGGTAACGGATGACTCCATTTGAATACATAAGAGCACATGTCAGCAAATGAATAGTTTTCATCTAGCCGTGGATAATGTTTTCTGTCCGAAACTTTCTACATACAGCTTCATCCCGATCTCAAGGCCCAACAATACTCTGGATATCATCCACCCTCCTCTCTTCAATCCATTCAATAGCCTCCTTCCGATTCCTACAAACATGTGCCTGTCCCTCCCCTGTAGCATCAAGAACACTTTCACTCCCCTCCAACGTCATATCTGCCATACATAGTATCTGATTGCGCAAATATTCGAAACAATGCGAGGCATGCATATCATTTCGAGCACCATCGAATCCAAAAGTTTGACCGGAAGAGAGAACCAGTTGATGATAGGTATCTACTGTATAGTAGAGCTGTTATGGTGGTCAATGAAGAGTTTCATGAGAAGATGAAAAAGAAGACAACATACGCAATGTAAGGCATGGGTCCAAGATGCTTCGTATATGGGACCGGAACGAATGGGGTCGTCGACGATAGGTTTACCTAACATGGGATGTTGTTCGTAATCGGGGATTTTGACAGTTCCACTACCCACTGTTCAAAGTCAGTGTTATTCTTAACCCTCTTCTTTGTTCCTTTTGTCACTCACATGGCATTAACATATCCCAGTTATGACGAATTTGCATTCGATCATCATTACTTGTCATATTTGGGAAGAAAGATGATTCTTCCCCTTTAAGGAGTGTCCACTTATGAGATTCTATATGAAAGAATTAGCATCATCCTTTTCGCAAGAATACCAGACGAACTTACGAGGAATATAAAGCCCATTAATATCGCCGCCAGTTTCTGTATCAGCTGGTACCCAGCCCTCCTCATCCATCTCGCTCTTTTTTCCATGCCTCAATAATAAATATACAATCAAGCTCTGCATTACGATAACAACACCCCATCTTGCCCACATAAAACCATTATTCAATTTCCTACACGATTTTTTGTCTTTGAACATCTTACGGAAACGCGAAGGGGAAGAAGTTTTCGAGGTCGTGTATTTTTCATGTGATCCGAGGGTAGTGTCGGAGTCATTTTCAAGATCAATGTCTTTGATGTCCATCCCAGAAATGGGTTGGTAAATACTGGCGGATTCTTTTGGAGACATTTCTTTTTTTTCTTTTTGGAGTGTTTGGTTTGGGATTAGTTTGTCTCGAAAGAGATAGAGATATGGGACGAAGGAAAAGAAATTGAGAACCAGCTCTGTGACAAAATTAAAGGATAACAAAGTTTACACTCGAAGCAAATATGGAATTGAAGAAAATTGGCAGAAAGAAACCCAAGAACCAGTTCTTGTTGTGCGTAAGAGAAGTAATGGAAAAAGTAACGACGATAGTGTAGTACAATAGGATGAGCTTCACGAGATCAAACGATAAAACCACACCATTAAGCATTCCATAAATTTGTCATTATCTTGATTCGTACTTCTTTCCCTCTCCACTCATAACCTCCAGTTTCACAAAGTATACCAATCGATAATCTTCTTTCCAACGTTCCATATCACCGCGTTTTCGACAGCGCTTCCATCCTGGCATCATACAAGACTACGTCTTACAGCATGAAGTAATAACGACATGATACAAAACATCGGCACGACTTGCCTTCACGATTCTCTTCTTTTTCCCGACTATAGTTCTTATTTTGGCCATTGTGTTGAAAATAAACAATTAGATAGTATTTTTAGTCTTGATCTGATGTAAAACATCGACTTCTAAAACATGACTTGTCGGGGAATCCCTGCGTGGACAACTACCGATCCAGGGGTAAAATAAGCGGGGTAGGAGTTTGATATTCGACATGGTGGGGGAAGCGATGGAAGCATTGTGGTTGATTTTGATATCTTCACTGTTCAACTATCGCTGAGCACCTGAGCATTGAAATTGTTATCAAAATTATTCGGACGTTCAGAGGGTCGGTAATCAGGAGCCAAGTAGGAAACACTTCAGGCCTGAATTGAGTGCTTCAAATGTAGCTGCAGTATTAAATATCTATTGTGTAATTCTTATGTATGCAAAATTTCGAATATCTATGACGTAGAACCATTGGTATCCGTGCTGTTATCATGTGTTTCCATGATTCCTACCGAATTATCCATGGCCCAGTCTACAATAGCATCAAAATTTCTACAAACATGCCAAGAGTTGAGTTCTGGCCAAGGAAGAGGATCATCTTCTACCTTGTAAAGTGTGAAGACTCCAACGTCTGCATTGCATTGCACATTCATGCGTAGAATCTCTAGACAATGATCTGAAAGTTGGTTGTTAGAACTGCTCGTGAATGAAGGGGTAAGTAAGCGAGGAGTAATTACCGGTGTGCATTTGAAGGCCCTTTTGTCCTCCCTTGAACTCTCCACTGATGTCTTCGTACCAGTCTCTGTATGTGACTTGTCGGAGAAGATTTATACAATGTAGTTGATGAAAAACTTCTAGGCCGACTCGGTAACCTTCGACTCCGGTCTTTGGATCCTTGACTTTCAGATGTGTGTTAGGCATCCCGATTTTGTCGAGTTGATCTGGTAAAATCATTTGATCGCCAACTATTTGCATGTCAATTTAGCGAATTGATATTGAGGGCGGATGAGTAAACCTACCATCATATGAAATAGCACTCCATGCCTTGTCAACGTTTGGTCCGTAGCCCACATACAGTGACCCAGTTCCCATGGTGTTATTGAATTTAACTTTTTGATACTCGACTGCTTTTGCAGCGGGAGCTGATCATTTAAATTAGTCCATGAATCTTCCGTTCATCGTGAAAGAATACTTACACCATGCCGAGTACTCCTTCACGTGTTTGAGCGTTGTTATCCTGGTACAATATGCCGATATGAATAACCCAAATGAAAATGAAAGCAGTACAGCATGTACCAACCACATCCATCGGTTATCGTACGTATGTCTAGGCAATGGCATAGATTCCACATCCTGAGCCTTTCCATCATACTCCGAGTCTAACAACGTTGAATTCAAGCTGTCAGTAGATCTTCGAACGAGAGATACATCGATGAACTGTTCATCGTTATCAACTCGATGGTATTCAGCCGACATTTTTGAAAGTCTCTTCGTTGACGAAATTCGGATTGTATTTGAACAGTCAAACAATTGGAAAAAAATCAGAAAAAATTATACAGAGAATAGCTTAACCAGAAGCAAATTCAAAAATAATAAGGGAAGAAAAAGACCACGGCCAGCGATGAGGAGAGGAAGGGAAAACGAAAACAATTGTAAGATCTTACAAACCTTCAAAAACTTCAGATGACAATAAGAAATATCCATGAGGGTAATAGTTCATCATTGTTATTGCATTGGGCTGATTACAACCGTTGAATTAATCTGCCACGATATCCAATACAGCAGATGTCTCATCTGAACATAAAAACCCTTCCTCTGATGTTTGAGAATTGTGACAGTTGAAAGAATTGGAAGCATGGAAATGGCCAGAGCCCCGGGTATTTTAGGCTATTCTAGCTGGGTGAAACTCAGGATAGGCCCACGTTTTATGTAAGCGGATACTCCATCCCAGCAAAAAATCATCAACGACTAAAAACAAAAATCGATGTCGTTGGTATAATATTATCAGCTTGATGCATTCAATATATCAGTGTCTACCTATTTGGGTGTATGTGGATCTTATTTACGATTTTGTTGTTGATTTATACATCAATATATCAGAAATTCGGTTGGCTCCACTTAGAAGTCTAAATCAGCCCTGAGAATGCTTGTTGCTTTCACAGTATCTGGGAACCTATTTTTCTCATTCGAATCTTTACAAGGCTTCTTAGTTACATCTGAAAAGTTTGATATTCTAAGATCCAAAGACAGTGTGATTGTTAGCTAGGCTATACTTTCCTCTCATTTACTAGATGTTGATTAATGCCGCAACATATTGCAACAACCGTCTGAACTTTCTGAACTTGGTCGGCGGTTATCAATCCTCCGCATTTACTTCAGATGAGACTATCGTTTGACAATGTATGGGTACTTAGTCTTAAAATATCTATTATTGATCTATCTCAAGCAATACAATGGTGCAAGTCAACCTCATCATTTACCAATCACAATGAGTTTACTGCAGCTTTGTATACGAAATCGACTGCGACTATCATTCACATTTCGTCTCGAGTACCCTAGAAGCGAGAGCAACATGTACCAGCATACTGGATTTGGTCCCAAGTCGGGATACCATCTGAAGAAATGTATGACAATATACACCCCTATCTCGCTGTTTGGCATTGTTCTTGTATATGTATAAAGTCGCTCTAATTCTCTCAAGCCTTCTCCATTCTCACATCACTTCTCACGCCATCTTCTGAGCTTCCATTCTTACCTCTCTTCTTTACATTCTTTCATTCGCTCACTGCCGGCCAGTACCCCTGTTAGATTTTTAACTTTATTCTTCTTTATTTCAGATACACTCCACTTCGATCATCATGCATACTCCATCCATCAATATTTTGCTCGCCGTCGGCCTTCTCTTCTCTACCCCATTCACATCGGCTCTTACTATCCCTTCCATCGATAAGAAGTCCATTGTAAGTCATACCCTTCACATACATTTAGATGCATGAGACCGTCACTAACAAATAATAGGCTGGTACGGGCATAGAATCCATCGAGACTCGTGAAATTCCTGGTCTCATCAATCGTCATCACACCGAAGCCCAGATCGCCGCTAAGGAGGCAAATGTAAAAGGAAAAGGACAGCGCGATGTTTTGGAGAGAGAAGCACATCACACTGAAGCACAGATTGCTGCTAAGGAAGCCAACGCCGGGAAAAAGAATGGACGCGACGTTGAAACCAGACACCACACTGAAGCACAAATCGCAGCGAAGAAAGGAAAAGCTTCCAAAGGTCAACGTGATGTAGAAGAGAGGGAACCTCACCACACAGAGGCACAAATTGCTGCCAAAAAAGCGAAGGCCGGGAAGAAGAATGGTCGCGACGTTGTAACCAGACATCATACCGAAGCACAAATCGCCGCCAAAGAAGCCAAAGCTAAAGCCAAGAACCAGCGCGACGTCGAGCAACGTGAAGCTCATCACACCGAGGCTCAAATTGCTGCTAAGAAGGGCAAAGCTTCTAAGAATCAACGCAATGTGGAACAACGTGAAGCCCATCACACTGAGGCCCAAATCGCTGCTAAGAAGGCCAAAGCTTCTAAGAATCAGCGCGACGCTACTATCGAAGAGCGCGAGCCTCATCACACCGAAGCACAGATTGCTGCTAAGCAAGCCAAAGCTGGTAAATCCAAGGGACAATAGATTTGGCTGGATTACTGGATATCATTGGACTGTGTTGAATGGTTAGATAGACGGACATCTGAGAGATTGTCTTGTATCTCATTTCAGGTGTACATGAACGGGTGTTTCGGAAAGACGGGGTATTAGTGTCGTTATATAATCATAAAGAAGCATTCAATGGGATGAATCAATAAACCTGTCTATATGCGAACCTACATTTCTAGAGATTCCCCTTCTTTTGCACCAGCAATAAAAGAAAGTCAAATCAGGATCATTTTGAGATGAACTATATTCTTTAAAACAGCGATAACTACATGAAAATCACGGAGTTTCCTGACACTTCAAAAAGCTGCCATAATACTGACAGCTATTCTTCGTTCCTTCCCAATTTAAATAGAACTCTCATGATTCGTAAAACAGTAGAAGAGGATAGACTAATATCTTCATGTGGGAAGTAGGTATACTTGTGTTGCTGTGGGAACAAGTTTTAAAAGGAATAAGTCGAAATTTCTGAGATACGGTATTCTCATGGTGCTGAGCAATCAGTGTCATCTGGTGTCCCTTTGATAGTCAGAAAATACCCAGATACTTATAGTACTAGTCAACTGCTATCAGCCGAAACCCAATTTCACACCAAAAATCGGCATTTCGCTATATTTTTAAATATAAAAATCTCTATAAATAATAATTTGAATTTAATGAAATTTTGATTTTATAAAGTTTATATAATGATAATTGATATTTTCAATATTTCAAAAGTTTAAGAAATTTCTAATATTAAAATTTATAAGATTGAATTAAAATATGAAAAAGTTATTTGATTTTCGCTTATTTTACTAGTAAATCTAATCATTTTGAAAATACTCTG